TGGCTGAATATTTTATCATTATTTTATATTATTTCTCCTTTTAGTATTAGGAAATTAGGGTTTTAATTTTAGAAAATATTTTTTTCTATGAGCCTATATAAATTAGGCATGCTCTCTCTTGTAAACAGAACAAAAATTGAATGAAATTATTCATTTTAGAGTTTATAACTCTTGTGAGCCTTAGTGCTTTGTGGTGGCATCCCGTGTGAAAAACAGATGTGATCAAGAACATGATCAACTCTTGTGGTGTCTTCGAAGGTTGAGGTTCCTAGAGGCAGGTGCTCTAGAGGATCTTCTCCTTGATCATTATCCCATTATTTATTTCATATTTTTTTTATTTTCGTCATAAATTTTGTTTCTTTCTTTTTGGTTCTTGTGTTTTTGTTGTGTCAGGGTTCTGTCCCTAAACTAGCACAATTCTGCTTCCGCGTCCTCTATCATAGGGTCTACCGTGTTAAACAAGGGACAAGTAATTCCTTTTAAAAACAATTCATTACCTCAAAAGCGTTACCATGTTAGGAAGGAGTAAAACATAATTTACAAAGACAACCCACTTTAAAAAAAAAATAATACCATAGCAAATAGAAATGAAACCACTTCTCTTCACAAATGATTACTATGGTAGAAGAGATTCTACCATGATAAAAAGAAATGAACTAAATAAACTATCATGATAAAAGCAATTTAATTTATTAAATAGTCATTTTCAAAATTTTGGATCCCAGACATTTATAATGAAAAGAAAGAGTGAAGGCCTATATGATCCAGTCTAAGTTAAAACAGTAACAAATAAATATAAATTATAAATTTTGAAACCATTATGTATTTCAAAAACTTTTTACTATTTTACAAACATTCTTAATAAAATATAACCTTTTTTTTCTATTTAAATACAAGAAAAATCATAGTTGGATTACATTCACCCAACACAATTTATATAAATGAAATTTAATATAATATTCTTTAATATTTGGCTTTGATCTACGCACTACATTATCTTTATAAAATTACTCTCCTACATGCCACTTCGGCCAAAATATCTTTTTTCCACCCTTGTACTCCCTATAAATACAAACTAAGGTAAAAAAAAGCCATAAATAAATCAATTGATCAAATTCAATTAGTCAAGACACATGGCCTAATCATTATGCTATTTCAAACCATTTAACATTATCAAATCTCATTAATGTTTCAATAAGTACAAAAATATATCTTAATAATTCATGGTTTACAATCATCCCAAAACATATAACAGATAGAAACCATTTGAAGAGGCATGATCACAAACATGAGTCTATATGGTCAATGAATAACAAAATTTCTAAACATTGGCAACAATACATCATTAAAAATCATAAATCCAAGCCAAAGGAAGGAAGTAGTTCTATACCATTAAGCCTTAAGAGCTTCTCTAAATGCCACATTTGACTCTCCTCCTGAAAACATTGACCCCAAGAGTGAGACTAAAACATCTCAATAACTAATACTAATTTATGATAATATATATAACAGTTATATGTGAATTTGTTAAGTGCAAAAAAATAACACAAACAGTTATATTGCATAACTAACAACTATCCTTATTTTCCTTCTTTAACCTTAAGTTATAGCCCTCACTCGATGTTAGATCACTCAAGTCAAAGGTAAACTAATCTGAGCCTTTACAAACCATTTATTGGGCCTTCAATAAGGGCGTACTATGTGGCACAAAAATGCAACAATAATAAATCTCCTAACACCTCCTACAAAAGTCAAGCAATTTAAATATCAACAAGGCACAAATGTACAACGTCACAACTTTCACAATTTTTCATTTTCAACAGCATTACAATATAGCATTTCACTTGACAAAAACATTTCAAAATATATATCTACAATTCTACAATTTCTCAATAAACATATCCACATTTTTCAAATAATCACATATATAATAGTAGGCAACACTAATAACAAATTAAAGCATGGTTACCTTGTCGTTTAATAATGATTTACACTTTTTAATTTTCCTTCCTTCACCATTTTCATCAACATAATCTACAATAGTTTTCCACACCACATAGCATTAGTTTTAAGTTTTGAAACCAATAAACAACTCTAATCATAGAGTTAAGGAATATAACTTACACTTTCAATATTATTTTTTATATCATTTTTAAGGTTAGTATAATCAATCAAAATTCTAACCTTCTAACAAATTATAAACATCAGCAAACTATAATTAGCTTATAATTCATTTTTATTATCACTATTTTCCTCTTTTTTATTCCATAAATTTGAATAAAAATAACCCATAAATAAGAAACTTAGTCTCTTGTCACAAATAATCATTCTAACAATCATCACAAAAAAGAATCTCAATTTTCTCTAAACTTTATTTTCTTAAAAATTTCAATTCACTATCACAAATAAATTTCTAAATCCCAATTACGTTCCTATAATTTAATAATTTTATTTCACTTGTTAGAGCTATTAAACAATAATAATTGTCTCAAGTCATCCTTAATATTAAAATTGTAACATTTATAATTCCTACTAAAATCACTGCTATTCACATTCAACCATAAACCTCAAAATCAATCCATTTAATCATCATTATAACCTCCATTAACCTAAGCTAAACCATTAAATTTGAAATATATCACTACCAAGATCACAACTTACAATTTCTCAATTAAAACCTAACTTTAATTCCTTAAATAAATTATTTGGGCAAATTTAAAATATACAAACTATTGTTTTAATATTGTTATTTGAGACTAAATAATCAATTAAAACACTCATGAACTCAAAACTTATCAAATTTTAGGTTTCCATCATCAAGAAATCAGAAATCAGAGAGAATATTTAACTAAAAAAATATTTAAAATACTTATATATTCTTAAAACGTTTGAAATCACACCTAAATTACCTTATTATGGAGCTTAGCTCCATAAATATCTCCCCCTCGGCGTGATGTTGCTCTCGCTCTCTCGCTCACTGCTCTGCCGCGAAGCCACAGACGCACAGGGAAGAAAAGAAACCCGATTGACAAGAACGTAGGCAATGACTATATTAGGACATAGTGGGCTTGGGCCACGTGCCACCCACTATGTGCAAACATTTCTTTTTAACTTAATATAATTTTTGTTTGCCCCGCAAATTTTCTGACATGGCTTAATAAATCTTTAAATCGTTTTCATTTTTTTCAAGATTCTCATGAAATTCAGTTGAATAAACTTAATTCATATATTTTGCTCAAATATAATTTTTATAATATTCATACGATCAAAATCTCTCGAATATAGAAATAATTTATATAGTCTAATTTAATCTCACTTAATCTTGTTTACTTCCTTTATTCTAAAGAGAAAAAAATATGCATTGGAATGGAGACTTTAAAATTTAACTCAAATAAGGACATGGTAATTTAATTCTCTCATAATGTTATTTAACTTTTACAAATAAAAATTTGGGATATTACATCAAATATAAGAAAGTATATCCCAAAAATCAAAAGCGGGTTACCCAAACACACCATTTGGAGGTATCATATTATCGGTTTTGATGCTACAGTTTGCAGTAATGTTTTGCATATTGTTGCTCTTTGCCACCTTGAGTTTCAGAATTAGTGTTTCCCAGCAAACTCAGTGATGGTTTGCCCTAGTAATCACTAGGAACAGCAGTGTCCAGAAAACCAATAAATGAAGAACTTGGAAGGTTTTGCAGATTCTGCAGTGATGGCTGGTCGCTTCTCTCTGGTACTGACCCTCCAATTTGAAGATCCTCCACTACATTTCTTGTCTGAAAGGAAATTTGATTGCTGCCTCTCTGACCAATCTGGATGGGACTCGGATCATTTACTTCTGAAGACCATTTGAATACCATTGAATCAAAGTTGTTCAAGTTCATGGTGCTTGAATCAATAGTACAGGGATTTGAATTTGAATCCTTCAACCACACTAATGATTACTCTAGTCCCACGTATCCAAAATCATTATAGGTGTAGTAACAAAAGTTAATTACATTTTTTATACTTATCTAATCTTGTGCATTAGGTGCCTTCTAAAAGTATACTTTGATTTACTTTATAAATTACTTACTGATGATATTATTTTATTTTAAATTAAAATCTTTAAATTATCGTTAAAAAATAATAGGGATGGAAAAAAGTAATATTATATAATTTTTTTATTTTTAAATTTGAGGATTATATTTAAAATTTTGTTTAAACTTAAGCTTGGAGCCTGCAAAGTTATAGATGATTGATGTTATGATGTGACAAAGTCAAAGTTGATGTTGGGAATGGTGACGATTCCTTCAATTTCAAGTGTTGGTGCATAAACACCGTATGTAGTTTTTTTTTTTTTTGAGTTAGAAACTGAGTATCATGAACAAACAAGAAACTAAAAGCAGATTAAAGGAAAAACCTAAAGCCGTATGTAGTATTGGATATTGCTACAATGGAGTCATGATCAATAAAAGGTCAGTTAGCACGGACAGAGAGATTCATTTTCTTCGTTTTGAAGAGTTGCAACTAACACACGCGTTTTTTGCATCTCCAAGTCATGGCAAGCGAAGGAAAAGACAAGCAAAAGCGAGTCATGCCTGCATGGTCAAACTGGGACGCGCCTTTCGACTTGGTTTTCTCCCACATTTTACCTTTTTTGGGTTTTTTTTTTTATTAACTTTTTGTCAAACGCTCATCTGGTCTTATATACAAGGTGTTTTTTTTTAAATGAAGTTAGTCCAATTTATAAGGTGTTATATTTAGATATCAAATAATATTTTTCTTTTATCCCTAATTTTTTTTAATAATGATCTCGTGCATCACACATCATTTTGTGCATCGCAAAGATTCAAAAAAATTAAGCTGTATTATCCTTGGCTCGTAAAGTAAGGTGGCTTGGTGTAGATTAATAAATTATACGTATAACTTATGTATGTTATGCACATTTGTTTCCTTTGCTCAGCGTTGATGTGACTTGTTTGAGCAAATCCTGTTGAAAACAACAACTTGAAATAGTGCCAAAGAAGAAGGCATTTGTCGACCCAAACACTTGGTATGTCACTATACAATTAGACGCCACGGATGTACACGTCTATGAAAAGAAGAATACAGAAACAATCTAAATAACTTTCTATTTTGCTATCGTATTGATTCTGAATTCTAAAGTATCTCTGTTGGGCTAAAAATAAAAAATCTGAAGTATCTCTATTTGGACTGTGATCAACATTTCAAAATCTGGGACAATAAACACTCGATAAATTCAGGAAGCTTTAAAAAGCTGATTCAAATGAGTGTACCCTATTTGTCAAGAATTTATTGACCAATCATAGTTTTGATATGAGATGCGAACAGGCCCACCATCACCTAAGATATGTGTCAAGAAGCCTGCTTTAGTTGCATCCAAGTAGTGAATTGCCCACTTCAGAATGTCTTTCCCTTGTCCAAAATCCATATCATACCTGGTAGTTAAATAGGATTTTGCTTAGAATCCAAACTAGTTAAAAGGATTAGGTTTCAATAAAGTTCATTAGACTAGATTTTTCTTGAAATTATATAGGCTTCTTATTATCTTTCAAAATATACAACTATATTTTCCCAAAAAAAAAAAAATAATGGATCTTTTCTAAGTTTTGCTAAATTTCAAATATCTCAATACTATTTTCAAAATCTATACAAACTTCTCTCAAGAACCTCCGCTTTTTTATGAAATTATATGGCCCTCCAGAAGATATTTGTATATATTTTGAAAATAAAGATGTTTGTATGATTTTTTTACACTTTGAATGAGGTTTGTGTTAATTTTGAAAATAGAGGGAAAGTATGTGCACTTTAGAACTGCATAACTATACTTTCTAGAAAAAAATATAATATGTTCAATTATGTAGTAATGTCAGCCAAAAGCATGTAATGCGAAGCTCTAAGAAAAAGAATGTACACTCTTTTTCTTAATGTGAAAAGCTTGAGCTCCAGAGTAAAACAATAGACTATAAAAAGTTCCACCTTTTCGGGAAAGTTTGAATTCTCCACCTTTAATTTTCTCAAAATTTGTATTGAACAACTTTATTTTGTACGCACAGATCTTCATTCTCTGTGTCTTTGCCCAGCAAAGTATAACTGAGATTCCTCCTAACTGAAAATGAATGTTAAGGGACTTTTAAACGCTTACCACTTGATAATACGTGTGAGATAAACAGTCCTCTTCTCCAGATCCACTTCTGCACCACCTTCTTCAAAGAATTCTCTTGTAGCGCGTCTTAGTTCTTCTACAACTCCATGGGTTGAAAAGAACCTTACCTTTGGGCTCGACTTTGTACCGCTACAAATTCCAAAGTGAATCAATGGATTCATCTTGACAAGAGCAAACTGCAATTTGCTGGAACAAGTTAATAACCTTTCTCCATAATCAATCAGATTATGGATACGAGGGACCAAGGAACAAGCTAAAAACCTCAGGAGTCAGGATGTGTTAAAATCTGAAGGTAGGAAGAAAAATTGTAGCTTCATTTTTCTTTTCTTAAAAAAAAAAATTCCAGAAAATAGGCACCCTCGTCTTTCGTTAACTTTTTAGTCCTTCAGTTTGTCAAAATGACGTAAAACCAAGTTAGTAACCCCAATTAAATTCAGGTGTTTAACAAATTAAAAAAAGAACAAAAGAAAAAAAAAACTAGAATGAGAAAAAAATCACTGCCAAACGAAATTGAGGTCCATAAACTTTTGGAGGACCAAATTTAGAACTTTATAACCTTGTAAGGACAGAGTGATTTATAATTGAATACTGTTTACCTCTAATTGCTTGTGTCCTGAGCGAAATGTCTTCAGCAAGGAATACGGTGCCCTCCGATTACATCTGAGGATACCGTTTTTAATGGAATTGAGGCAATAAGGGAGCCCTCCGACCACGTACTGGAAATCAGAGTAGAAGAAATTCCTGTCCAATACAGTCTGCGGAGACCCTACTCTGGTAAGAGCATGGATGACCATGGCATTGTACAAGTTCATGAAAAAAGCAAGCCTCTCGTTTTCTGATAGTTCCAAGAGGTTAATTCGTTGAAGATCCTGGGCCGCAATTACATACCTGGAATTAAAAAAAGAGAGGAATAGACCAAATTTAGACGTACGAAGTTCACCTGACATCAGAGAACACATTATTTCAATTTCTCAGTAAGTATAAAAAATCCACTGTTAGAACTACGGGTTTAATAGAAATAAACTCCGATCTTTACCTAAACTGAACAAGAATCTCTTACAATTTAGATAGGACCAAGGGGGAGAGTCTCCAATCTCCAATCTCCAATAAGTAGAAAATGAGATATTCGTGTCGTGTCCTCATGAAAGAGTCTTACAAAGATTATATAGCATGCAACTGCAATTCTACGGTTAAATGACAGCAAAATAAACTAATCTCCTGTTTAAGTGACAACTCAGCATATTAGGATAGGAATCTGAAACTGCAACTATGTAAAGTGGACAACACAGGGTAGAAGTTATTCAACATGTATAACTTCCTCAACAACAGAATCCAACTTTGGGTTTGGACTTGCGTGTTTCTTGCGCCTTTTATCTACTGGCAAGGGTCTGCTATCAGCCACCTTGTTGGTTTGAATAAAATGAGTAGTTCTGCTAGGATATTTACGAGTTATGATTGCATGCTATGTGCCAAGCACTCATGCAGAAACATGTGGCGTGTCTGGGTGTATTTGCATGATAAAAAGTAAACAATTAGTACAGGCAACGCAGAACTCAGGTTCTTTGCAGGGACTTTCAATAAGCTATCTATCTTTTTGAGCAGTTGTATTGGAAAGAAACTTTAGCTTTCCAGATCCTGAGAATCATATATATTGCAGCTGAGGTGCCTCGGTAAAGGGGCAAAAACAATCAAGGTTTCCTGTTATGTGTAATAGGAGGGAGAGATGGGGAAGCAAAGGTTGAATGATAATTCTCCTTGTTTGGAGAAACTTTTGCCTCCAAAATCCCTCAAGTTGTAGGTAGGGCTGTGCAAAAGTCTCCCAGTCCTGTTTGGTCCAGTCCAACCCGAGATGGTCTCAGTCTTGTTCGGTCTGTATAGTCACTGGTCCTTCAGGACCAAAAGGACTAAAAAGACCAGACTATTTTTTCGGGTTGGACTAGACAAGAGACCAGGCATCCGAACCACTTGGTCCAGTCCAGTCCTATTAATTTTTTTTATTATAATTATAATTAATTTATTTTTGACAAATGTTTAAAGTGTAATTGATGCTAAGGAGATGATTGCATAAAGATTTATTAAGTTTGTTTCTAAATTGTTATCGTAATATAGTGTTGTTGAATTTTTTGAGTACTGTTTTTATTAAAGTTTATAAATTTAAATAATTTAGACTATAACAAAAATATTTTTTTCTTATTGTTAGAAATTATTATGGATTTATTATTATTATAAGTATTTTTACTATCTTAATTGAGTTTATTATGTTGGAATGGATTATTGCCTCTCATAGAATAAAAAGAGGGAAAAAAAGTTAAGTGAGTACTGGACTGACAGGACCAGTCTCCCAGTCCTATGGACCAAGTCCGGTCCTGTTAATCTTCGGGTTATCACTGGACAAAACTGGACTACGGGTTGCCTAACCCAGTCTTTTTCATGAAAGAGACCGGACTTCGGGTTAGGGTGAAGTCCAGTGCTGTCCAGTCTTTTGTGCAGCCCTAGTTGTAGGAATGGTTCAATTTTTCAATTTCCTTCCTCTTCCCTCCATTATCCCTTCATCCTAGCACCAACCCAAAAGAATATAACACCACTTTCCCCAAAATCGAGGCACTTTTCCGAATAGACTAGAAGAAAGTTTCAAATCGCATGAGCACAAAACAGAGAAATGAAGGGAAATCCAAATTCAACTGTGAAAAGGAATATTTACGATTCATAAATTCAAGAAAAAAGTTTAAAAGCAAAATTAAATTCAGAAGTTGCTGCCTAAAATAAAAACAGCATACTTCATGGTTTTAATCTTCAAAGTGATGGGTTTAGCATTAAATTTTGATCGCCAATTTAATGCTTTCAGAAAGGGACATCCTCCAACTGGAACACCAACAGTTGGTAATATATAAATGAGCAAAAGCCAAGTGGAAATCCGGTATTAGACAGAGACGAGGTTGTTAATCCATTCATCGTTCATTCTCAAATAAATAACAATAAGGGGTTTTCATTTCCGAGGAAAAATAAAAACCAGGAAATCAGGAGGAAGCCACGGAGGATCAGGAAATTATTGAAATTAATTTGAACTACCAGCGGGGCATGGCAGATGTGCAAGGAATAATCGATCACATACCACAGGAAAGAATTTCTACTCTTCGCTCAAAATTTTTACTAGATACATAAACAGTCAAATTTTTACTAAAACAGTCAAATTTTTACTAGATACTTCTTTCAATTTAAATTATAAGATATTTTTTAAAAATATTTGACATCTCAAAATATAAGCCTCTTCAATAAAAATAAGATTTCATTAATGATATTTTTTTAATATTATCATTCCCATTATATTCTCTCTTTTTAATTTTTATAAATAGAGTATTAAATGAAGGACACTTTAAAAGTTTATATTTTTATTTTAAAAAAATAAGAAGAAAAATGATAATAAAATTCCTCTTAAATATATAAATGACAATTTGGTTCATCCAAATGTCATAATGCCATTGAAGTTTCAAAGATTTTTTTATCATTGATGAATTTATTTAAATGACCAAATTACCCTTGTTGAAAATAAAACAATTTACAAGTTTTGTTTAAATAGTCATAACTTTTCTTCTTATATTTGTAACAATACAATAATAAATCAAGAATTTAACATACAAAATTATAATTTGTTGTTGTATTGTTGCAAATATAAAAAGGAAAGTTGTGATTGTTTAAATAAAACTTATGAATTATTTTATTTTTAACAAGAATAATTTGATATAAATTCATTAATGACAGAAAAGTTTATAGAGATTTTAATGAAATTATGATATTTTAAATGACTGAATTATCATTTATATAATTTTTAAAAAATTATTATTATTTTCTCAAAATAAAATTATAAAATATATTTAATGTGCGTGCTCATGTGCGCATTTCATTTTGCCGTGTCAATGTGTCCATGGCAGCTAATGTGCAGCATAGTATGCTGTTATGCTCAAGAGTCAAGACCGCATTTCATGCGCATACAAATTATTCCAAAAAATAAATAATTTAATGCCATTCTGAAGCATAAAACTAACCTGCGAAATTCTTCGCTTTTGCCAATGGCTGCATAGTCAAGATATCGTCTGTCATCAGAAGCATAAGATTCGAGGATGGCAGACATAAGCTTGGTAAGCCTTTGGCATACTGCAACTGCAGGTTTCGGTTCACTATCATTTGTGATGGCCCGGAAATTAAAGCAACCGGTGATATATGGTTCGTGCTCAAGGAAACGGTAGAAGTGGTTTCCATCCTCAAAATCATCTTCCCTGCATTAGAAGGTTGACATTGACATGAAGAAACCTCCCAGAGAATAGTGTGTCATATACTTAGTTAGGAAAAAGACGTATCATTTACACTTTTGTTATTAGATTTTTCAATTAAAACATGATAGTATATAGTTCTTTACTATAATCCAATATTGCAGACAAGTTTATAGTAATCATCAATTTCAATATATCAATTCAATATAAATTACTAAAAAAATATAGAGAACCACACTGTTCACAAGACAAAAAACATTTGTTAATCATGAAATTCATATTGGGCCTTGTGCATGTGCAAAAATACACAAGAACCCCATTAGTTACTTATATAACGTATGGTTCTGTAATGAAACATATCCTTGTTAAATTATTATTAGAAAAGAATACTGTTATATTTCGATTGAAGAATTTTATAGCGAAGATATAAATAATTGAACTTTGATCTAGTCTTTTACTAATAGGTGTCCACTTTCATTGCTTTTAAAAGTTATTCTCTCACCCGAAAACGTGATGAATGAAATGCTTCTTGGATAACTGCTTTCCGATCTCAACAGCCTGATAAAAGTTCAGAATACAAACATTTAGTGGAAGTATAACAGATTTCACAGTTGAACAAACAAATATCGGAAACGTTTTTGTTTAAAGTGTCACATTCGACCGATATAGAATATCAAGAAATTAGTCAATTACTATTACTAGTGGCAAGGTCAGCTCTTGTGAGGGAATGTTAAATAGGGATAGATATCTGTGTAGGATATGAAGAAAAACATGTAATAATTCTAATATTGATGTACTCTCTCCGTTAAAAAATATAAAGTATTTTTTTAGGAGTTAAATGTTAAAAAATATTAGACATTTTTAGTTTTTTGAAGTGTAATCATTGTTTTTTTTAAATGTCCCTGTTAATGAATGACTTTATATTTATTGTAGAATATTTAATAGAAGTAAACATGAAAAAATAAGGTTAGTTTTAAAAATAAATAATTACTTTATTAAAAGATAAAATTTAATTAAAAATATTTTATATTTTTAAACGGAAGGTATATATATTGTATAAACTTTGTAAAAGTTCATCACGGGGATTTATTTTTCATTTTTGGGCCATCAACTGAAAGAGAAAGGTGGGCGGCGTGCATAGAAAAAGGAAAATCAGAAACTATCCATCCATCCGTCATCTATCAATAAATTTATATATGATGCAATGGCTATGAAAAAAGAAAACAAGTGAAAGTTGAAGTTTGAAAAAATATTAAGAGAGCCGTAAACTTAAAGTGCAAGGAATCGTGAATCTATGTCATCATTTAAATCGCAATTAACATGCACAGTTATTCAATACTTTGAATATATATATATATATATATTGAAAAAAGTTAGATCAGTGTTACTTGCTTTTATAAAAAAATCAAAATTTTAATTTGTATAATATAATAATTTTAGAAACTACGATCCTAAGCTTATCAGTTATTTGTGTGATATGATACAAAACAAAAACAACTATTTGCATCATATCGACATGTAGTTTAACAGATCTTTCCTCCAAAGAATAAAAAGTGAAATTTTTCTTTGGGGGGGGGGGGGAACAAAAAACAAAAGCAATATATAAGTTTTTGGAGTTTTTTGGCCAATACAAGTTATCAGGAGTTAGGACACTGGGAAGTTTCCGTGACATACCTACTCCGGACAGATAGAAGCAGAACAATATAATAATGAGAATCAATCATATTTACTTGTGAAATCTCACGTTTATTACGATGGTCCATTTATTTGAATTACCTTATTCTATATCATCAATTTAAAAAGAAATAAAAAATTATACATATATGGATATAATTCTCTGTCACTTTTCATTCCCTCTCTCAGTCCCTTTTTTACCTCTAAACCCATATGAACATAATGCATCATACATTTAAAGGAAAAAAAAAATCTAGTACTCATTCTCTTGCCCTTACAAAATGAAACAGTGAAGACGTATATATGACATTTGGATCATATATAAAGAATTATTGATATTTTAATCTCTTGGAATAATAAATATCAACAATTTTTCAGTTTTTGAAATAGGGGCTAAAATGTCAATAACTCCTCTACAAAGAATCAAATGTCACTCTTACTAAATCAATCAAGGTCACCCGTTCACAACCACATAACAAGTACAAAAAAAATGGTTCAGCGATAATATGATAAGATAGATGTTAAGTAAAATTTTATTCGTTACCACATTATCGTCATGTGAAAACTAAATGACATTCTGCCTATATTGCATGTTGAGACAATTATGAACTTTCTTATTTTGAAGCCGCTGTTTCTCCGCTCCAGTATCATAATTCGTTAGACATTAGGCTCTCGTGCGTGTCATTATTGCTGTTCGTGTTGGGCCTCTGGAAAAAGAATTTTTTATTTTTAATCATTTTTATTAAAATAATAATAATCATCACGTTATATATAAAAATATAATGCAAAATATTATTATATTATTATTTTATTAATTATTATCATTATCATTAATTATTAACTATCACCTGACTATCATTCATCATGGTGGTTGAAAATATTTTCTTTTAACGTAATCCGAGTGCATATCTAATTTTTTTTTAATTTTACATAAAGTTTTATTTTAATTTTTTAATTATATATTTTTTTAATCATTTAATTCTAATAATATCAGTTTTATTAACAAAAAATATATATGAAACTTTTAAATATTAATAAAACGTTCTCAAATGTTCATATTGTAAATTTAAAATTTTAAAATAATAATAATTAATACAAAAATAATTATTTAAAATTAACGATATTAAAGTTAGAGAATTAAAAAATATTTTATGAAATTAAAAAATTAAACTGAAATTTATATAAAATTAGATGATCAAATAAATACTTTAGCCTTCGAGTATATCATTTTAAATAAATAACAAAAAATAAATATTTCAATACTACACATCATATACACATAGTAACTATGCTACTTAGTTAAATTAGTTAGTCGAAAAAACAAATGTTTTAACTAAATCATTAAAAAAAGAAATAAATTAAACATTAAACAATTAAAAAAATATTTAAAGTAAGTTTCATAAGAAATGAGTTAATAAATAGTCATATTTAATGAAGAAAAAGACGACCCTACAAACAAAATGTTGCAATCCGACATTGTGGTCAACTTAAGCAACCAATCACTGATTGACAATCAGTGAAACGCGCATATCATAAATTACATAATGCAATGACAATGAGTTAACATTCCAATATTTTTTAAATTTTTTTTTAAAATATGTATTATTATCGTTTTGTTTGACACAAGAGGCTATCATCCATAAAAGATTCAAACCCTCCGAATTTGAAATTGGTAAATTTTACTATAAATTTTTTTCTTTTTAGTATTTTTATTCATTTTATTATTTTTTATAAAATATAAAATTTTCTCCCTTTTTCTTAAAAAATAAAACTTCACATAAATTCAAAGGATTTAAATTCCATAAGTAAAATACTAACTTACCAAAGGTTAAGAAGTGTGAGGAATCAGTATATGCATATTAATGTCAGATATTCATTTTAGAAGCGTGAGGAATTAGTCTATGCATATTAATGAAAAATTAATTCTATTTCTGTCAATTAATTGGTTGAAAAAAAAAAAGAATTGACCCCAACGGAACTAACAGGAATGGAAAAGAACTAAGCAACAACGGCGGATCATGCGTGGCGTACCTTCTCACGGCCGCAATCCGTGTGGCGAATGAGCACCTCCACTAATTCTGCCGCAGAAAAGCAGTTATGGATGATTTTCATCTTCATCGTCATCACACGGTCCTGAATGGGTAATTTCTGCCTCAGAACCTTGACGTATCCCACCAACTCGTCCGTCCGATCATCCGCGTTTGCATAATCGAAACCGTACACTGGCGGTGCAGGCGCGTGATCGGGACACTTCACGGTCATCACCTCCTTCCACAACTTCTGCTCGAAAACCCCACTATTCCTCAACGAATTCAACGCAACCAATCCACCAAACAGTTTCTCGTTGAAGAATATCGCCGGCACCGCTGTAGTACCCGTCCTCTCCCTCAGCTCACTCTCTCTCTCCGGGTACACATCGACGTTGATCTCCACGAATTTCAGACCCGTCTCTCTAAAGAACTTCCTCACCGCCGTGCTGTCCCTACAGTTCGACCTCGAGAAGAAGCTTATTCTTCCTTTCATTACCTGCTCGTCGCTGGTTTTTTCCTTCACCACGACCTTGAGACCAGAAAGATTGAATTCCATGACTCTCTGTTTATTCTTCTTCTTCGACTCCTCATCGTTCTCGTCCATCAAAGACGAAATCCCTCTCGCGATCGCCACCGTACGCTGCCGGAAGAACTTTCCGATGGCCGGCATGTCGACGACGGAGAAACTCGTTGTGTCATCGTTTTTGGCTGAAGGAGGATTTTCGATCCCCGGAGGCGTTTGTGGCTTCGGAAGATTGGAATGAGGCAGCACAAACAGCAGATGGCCGTTGGTATTATGATTGGTGTCCGCAACGTCGTCGTTTTGGGCCGTCGAATTCAAATGCTCCTTTCGTTCGTTTTTCAAATTGATTTCACTATCGGCGGAAACAAGATCACGCTCATGAGGGACGTTATCGCTTTGAGTCGTAGATGGTGGAGAATTCGAATCCTTAGCTCGTTCGTTTGTGAGATCAATTTCATCATCGGCCGAAACAACGTCAAGACGAGGCCGAACGTCATCGTTTTCGGTCGTCGACGGGGGAGAATTCTCGGAATGAGGTTGGGTAATTCGTTCTGTTTCGCCAGTGATAGTTGTTTCAGGGTGAGTAGCGGCTGATCTGCTGGCGTGAGTATCGGCGGAAACAACATCAACGCGAGGGAGGACGTCTTCGTTCTCTTTCGCCGATGATTCATCCGTTTCTGTGGATGTTATAGCGGAGCGTGATTTCTCGGCTAATTTGTCCAACTCTTGAGGATTCGGAATGCCTTCTACCTCGGAACCCATTTCGGTAAAAGAAACTCAGTCACATAAAACCATGGAGAGAAACAGAAACAGAATGAAATGAAAAGAGTGAGGACGAGGAGGAGGAGGAGGAGGAGGAGGAAGAACAAGGAGAAGAAGAATGAGGAAGAAGAGGAAAGAAGTTGCAGCGAAGAAAACAAGAAGTGGAAATGGATGGGTGAATGAGACGGACGATGAAATCGGAGGGGTTTAGCTTTTATGGAGGAAATTTAAAGAAATGGGAAGAAGATTGAGTGAGGTTTAGTGGAAGAATGTACAAGAAGAAGAGGTCAAAGACAATTAGCAATAAGACATATATAATCTTTTTTATTTTTTTTGTTTAAAAATGATGAAAAAATATAACTTTAAATTTTATATTTTGTTTAAATTTTATTATAAATTTTTATATTTTTTTATTGTTATTATAGATTTTTATATTTTTATTTTTTGATTCCTTAAATCTTTTTAACGATTTGCAAAACTTATAATATTAAAAAAATATATAAAAATTTATAACAAAACTTAAATAAAGAACAAAAAGCAAATGGATAAAAAAAAGTAAAAAGTAAATTATCTTTTGTAAAATCTTTCAAAAGCAACAACCATGATTTTTTTTTTTTTTATTTTTAACAAGAAAAGTCTGAAACACATTGGAATGAATGAATTACCGGATCGAGTGGGCGGTGTTACAGATTTTGAGCCTGAACCAAACTATCAATTATTTTTTTCTTTTTCCTAAAAATAGAGATAAAATTAAAAATGTATTTACAAGCATCAAGTTCAGAAAATGTTTACTATTTATAATGAGAACGGGTATTAAATATTTAAATGGACACTTATTTTCATGCTAAATATTTGAATTTGGTTGTTAGGAATAAATAGTTTCTAAATTTAATATTTATAAACTATAAATAATAGGGAGAATGGCATATAGGTCCCAATGGATCAATTAATTCAACTAATATTTCAAGTGTCAAATTTTAATAATTTGTAAGATCGATTCTCAATTTTAAAATTTTATTGTGATGAATTTATAACTTATGTTTTAAATTTCAACATGAAAAACAAATTTGTTTATCCTTTAACTATGTCAAAATTTTAAAAATAAATTGTAAATTCATTACAATAAAATTTTAAAATTGAAAGCTGAACTCGTAAACTTTTAAAATTTAATATTTGAAAGCTAAGTTGAATTAATTAATTTTTTGAACGTTTAGGTCATTCTCCCTAAATAATAAGCATAAAAGATAAGATAATCAACAGATAATTATAAATCACATGTGGAGTACCAAGTTGGAAAATACTTGGTATTAAAGGTAAAGAATTGAAAGTGGGGGCCTATCAGTAAAATTGGGTGGATCACCGATCACTGAACGTGGCGCTGATCTTGGCACTAGGCTTGTGGAAAGTGGAAACTATGGGGTTGACAGGTCCAGTAGCCTCGCAATATTATCTCTCTCTCTCACACACTCACATATATCAGCAAGTTTTCTTATTCAGAAATATGTCATTTTTACCTCAAACTCATCCTTACATGATTTTAATAAAGTAGCCGAGTAAATTATTTTAAATTTTAAATCCAATAATATTATAGATTTTAAATTTATTTATTATGTAAATTATTTTCTCAATCTTTAAAAACAGTACAATTTAATTCTCATTATTAACAAAATTTTGACAAAATACGACTTAAAAGATTACAACAAATAACAAATATAAAAATTATATATAGTGACTTAAAAAATTATAAAAAAACAATTTTTTTTATTTTCTATCACTTTCCAATCAATCAATTGTTAAAGTTAATTATTATCAATGACATGGCTAAATTACACACTTTTTAAAATTTCAAGAAATAATTTGCATGATAAACAAATTTAAGATTTATGGTATTACTGAATTTAAAATTCCTGGATTGCTTTGTTAATTTCCCCCAAATTAAAAAGGGATGCAATCAATATATAGCACATTTTTCATATAATGTAACAGTGCAATTCGCAATAAAGAAATTTTTATATACCTTGCTTGAGGGTTGAGAGTATATTTAGGAGTTAGGACGGTTCATCATCTAATATTATGTATAATATATTAAAAAATGTTTCCAGTTGACATTCAAAGGCCGTCGTCCATATTTCTCCAAGTGGAAGCTCGTTGTAATTCAAGACTTTTTCCTCTCTTTTGTTCCCTTGTTGATAAATAAGACTCTTTCCGTCTTGAGCAACAATCAAACATGTAAAGCAAGCTAAATCTGATTTTGACCGAAAAAGAAAGTGAAATATATATATAAAAAAAGGGGAGGCCTCATTTCTTAGAAATAAAATTGATATTCAATGCTATCAAATCATATTTAAATATTGTTAAAAATCTAAATGAGATAACCCTCTCAATATGTTTTCTATATTTATATAAAAACTATAAAATACTTAAACGATCATAATTAATTTTTATTACAGCCAATATTTATTGAATATTTTTGTATATGTTTATAACTTTTTATTTATTTTTTAATAAAATGGTAGTTCATTTGATACTCATAAGTCATAACAATTAAAAAAGCAAACCAAAGGTATTATTAATTATTAATAAATAATAACATTTATTATGAAGACATTATCATTCGATAAAGAATTTGAATTTTAAATTTGTTGAAGTTTTTAAAATTTTCATTTAAATTTTTTAAATAATTTATAAAACGGAATAAATATAATATTTTTATTAAAAAAGACTTAAACATTAGTTTTTTATGTCAAACTTAAATCGTCTAAACTTTTGTATTTCATCTAACTGACATGTAGAAATCCAAATTTTCCAATTAATGACATGAACTCCAAGAAATCAGGGTAGAGTCATGCCCATATTTTCATTCTTAGGGGAAAAAATCTAGATCCGACTGGATACATTCTTTTAAAAATTGGAGAGCAATTAACTTCAATCACGCGGCAATGAAACACGACTTAAGTCGGCGTTTCAGTAGCCTGAACGTAAATAATTTTGTTCACGACAAATATAGTGGGGGAAGTTTGTGATGGTCAACATAGTAAAATTGCATAATTTTATTACAAATTAATCCGAGGATTATGTGCATTCATTTTATTAATTTATTTTGGACATGATTTTTTTTTTTAATTTTGTTGGTGTCACAGCTAGAAATACAGGGCATGTTTGACAACTTATTTTGAAAAAAAAATTTTGCTCTAGGGATAGGTGATTCAAGCGCCCATACTTCAACAATTTTATAATTTAGCCAACGGTTTTGATCTCATGTCAATCTGATATCAAATAAAGAATTTGAATACCCACGATCACAATTTTACATTTTGCCTCCAAAACCATCAATTAAATGTCCAAATCTCACACCATAAGCCATTAGTATATATAAGGGCTTGAACCACACTCAATAAGTCCTAATACACTTGTCTAAATAGTCACAAGTATCAAATAACTTTTAATATAAGAATTGATTACCCAACCACCATAAAGCACATAAAGAGGAGTTGTAAATGCAACTTTTTGTATTCAAGCTAAATAATCACCCAAATCATGTAAAACTCATTTAAATTGTCAAAATATACTTGTTCATACCATCTTGGTACACTACCATAATCAGAGTAGGAGTTTGGACCCTATTATAGTTAAGAGAATCCAAAAATGTCTAAAATTAATGTTTAAGGCTACAATTGTAAGTGGACTCCAAATAAATATAAGTCAATATGAAAGACCCCTAATTGGCAAATGTTATATTTAAATTACACATAAATGATAAAACTAGAGATATTACAATTAACTACTTAGTCTCAAGCTTCAAAGGGCTCCCCTTTGTCCTTAGCTTGATCTTCGCCTATAAATATTCAACTAAGTGAGTGAGATAAACAACTTAATAATCAAGTAATTTAATCAAGTATATTAAAGCGTGACATTCACAACAATTCAACATTTAATATCACATAAGGCAAACCAACATTGTTCACAATGCATCATTATAATGTATTTTGCATGATCAAAGGCAATCACCTTATATTACTTCTTATATCATTTGACTGAATCCATGGGTTTTTATCTCATATAAGTCTAGCCTATGTGACCAGACTAGCCTTACTTGCCAATCGTAAGGGGTCACCAAGTCAAAGACTCCCACACTCACTATCGGACTATGGATTTCCCCTACTTGAATTTTGGGGTGTCATAAGTGCCTGGCTCATACTATCCAATCTAGAATCAGTAATACTGAGCATTGTTCCTGACTTATGCCTCACCCGTAGGATGTTGGCAATACTAAGCACATATAGTAATGAAGAATGCCAACCATTGTGTGCAAATTCAGCGAAAGCTACACCACATGGATTTTTTTATCATAATCCTTTTACTACTATGCTGGGGTGAACTCACACCTATTATGATCATGCAAGTTCAATCAACAAATGTGAATCTAAATTCATATATATTTTAGTAATTTATCATCCTCATAATTTTCAGAACTTGCATGCTTATCACAATCCACACCGCATCATAATTTATAATAGATCATCATATAGTCAACTTATAGTCAATTCAAGCCCATAAGTCATATTTCAAATATCATATAACATCTATATAAACATAATTATTAAGCATTTTATCACAAATATGTATCACAACTCTTCCAACATCATCAATTATGATCACTCATCATGTTAACACATTCATCTCGTAGGCTCATTTCGCTCATTTTAAGCCATCCATAATAATGCTTAAAGTGCAAGTACAGATACAATGATATACTATAATTAAATTTTCGGTTATCTTAACTTTTGGTTTACCAACCAAGAGTATCTGTGAATATCAAACGGAGCATCTAATAAGCTCAATAACACCAATAATGGTTGATCTATAATCAAACATATCAATAGTCATTAATGACTAATTATCCTTAATTAACTCTAATCAAAGCCTAAACTCAAAAATCTCATTATGGTCATCTACCCACAATCAAATTCATTTTTAGGTTCTATTAGCTCACTTTTCAACACCATTAATAACTTATAACCTTCTTAGCTAACTAATTAACTTTAGGGTTTACTCCAAACCTCACTTTGAAATTCTAAAACATCATTAGTATCATAACTCAAAGATTAGACACTTAAATAAACATCCATTAATCCTATTGAAGTAGAATTCTAGGCAAAGTCACAACCTATTTTTGAATTCCTGAAGAACTGTCTAAAAACAGTGATGAAAATGCACAAGAGAGGAA